ATCATCTGCATAAAAACTGACATTTTCCCAGCTATCATCAGTTCTGAGGAAGGGTCATTGGACCTGAAACATTAACTCTGATTTCTCTTCACAGATGCTGCCTGATCTGATGAGCTTTTCCAGCAATTTTGGTTTCGTTTCTGATATACATCATCTGCAGTTCTTTTGGTTTTTATTTAGTGTTCTGGGGAATCGGATTTGAATTCCACCGTGGCTGGTGGTGGAACTTGAATTAATAAAAATCTGGAAATAAGAGTCCAATGATGAATCCATTGTCGATTGTCGGGAAAAACCCATCTGGTTCACAAGTTTCCTTCAAGAAGGAAACTGCCATCCGTACCTGGTCTGGCCTACATGTGACTCCAGAGCCACAGCAATGTGGGTTGACTCGTAACTGCCCTCTGGGTAATTGAGGCCTGGGCCAGTATTTATTGCCCATTCTTATGAATGAATACAAAAAATATTATCCTTGTCAAGAATTCTCACCATCCAGCATCCATATGGCAGTTGGTAGGATAGGAGTTTGCATATTGGTAGCACAAGATCTGCAGTTAATTGGACCAAGAAGAAGCAGTAACTCCTATTACTAGGCATCTTGCTGCTGCCTAGCAAGAATCTTGTCCTGATGTCTATAATTTCCTGGATTATTCCTGTCGCCCTTCTTAAACAAAGGAACAACACTGGCTATTCTCCAATTTTCTGGTATCTCACCTATTTCTTAAGAGGACACAAAGATCTCTGCCTCAAAGGCCCCAGCAGTCTCCTCCCTTGCCTCCTTTAGTATCCTGGGATAGATCCCATAACGCCGTGGGGGCTTGTCTACCTTAATATTTTTCAAGACACCCAACACCCCCTCCTTGTTAATATTGACATGCTCTAGAATATTAACATCTGCCCCACCCCTGAATTTTATCATCATCTCCGTCTTCCTCCTGGGTGAATTACAATGCAAAGTACTCATTAGAGACCTCAACCACTTCCTCTGGTTCCACGCATAAATTCCCGTTTTTGTCCTCGAGTGGAACTACCCTTTCCCTAGCTACCCTCATACTTCTAATATACATATAAAATGAAAATGGATTCTCTTTAATCCTAATCCCTGAGGACACCATGTCTCCTTTTAGCCCCCCTAATTCCTTGCTTAAGTTCTTTCCTGCTTCCTTTATAGATGCCTCAAGGGCCTTGTCTGATTTCAGTTTCCTAAATCTTGCATATGCTTTCTTTCTGTTTTTGGATAAACTTTCAAAATCTCATCATCCAGGGTACTTGAATCTTGCCTTCCTTATCTTTCAGCCTAACAGGAACATGCTGGTCCTGAACTCTGATCAACAGGCCTTTAAAAGACTCCTGCATGTCCGATATGGATATACCCTCAAATAGCCACGCCCAATCTTATTTCTCTAGTCACTCATTGCATTTAACTCTATTGTGAGTTGCAGTTATTATGTTGTTGAACGTAATCCTGCACAAACACACTTTCAACTGAGGAACTTCCTTAGTGAGGCCATTGAAATGAAGAAAACTTGCAACCTGAATTTGCTATAACAAGGTGTAGAGCTGGATGAACACAGCAGGCCAAGCAGCATCAGAGGAGCAGGAAAGCTGATGTTTCAGGCCTAGACCCTTCTTCAGAAATGGGGGAGGGGAAGGGGGTTCTGAAATAAATAGGGAGAGAGGAGGAGGCGGATAGAAGATGGATAGAGGAGAATATAGGTGAAGAGGAAACAGACAGGTCAAAGAGGCGGGGATAGAGCCAGTAAAGGTGAGTGTAGGTGGGGAGTTAGGAAGGGGATAGGTCAGTCCAGGGAGGACGGACAGGTCAAGGGGGTGGGATGAGG